TGAGTATTCCTTTATTTTCTGAATCAAGGCAGAAAGCACTAAGCTGGGCGAAGGGGAGAAGAAAACAGACCATCCCCAATATGTCTGCAGCGCATATTGCCTAAGTAAAGTTCACAAGTGTCCTGCCTCAGATTCTTGTGTTTGTCATATTACATCCTTTTAAAAATAAATGATTTATTGTGTAGGGGTTAGTTGAAGTATTTTGAAGTCTCTGGTCAGTAAGGGACTTGAGGGCTAGTCTCCAAGACCATGTATACAGCACTTATTAGCGTCTGTGGCACATACTGCTTTCTGTTTGGTCACCTCTGTTAAGAATGCTCCAAACCTTTGCAAACAAAGCTGCAAGTGCTATGCGGAGTTTGCATTAAAAAGGTTTGAAACAGGAGTTGAAATCTAAGAAGAAAGTTGATGTGTTTGCTGCTAGCTGCATGTGTGGCACTTATCTCTCTACTTCACTGTCCGCAACTGTAAATTCTGAAAAGCATCTGTTCCTTAAGCTAATCTGCGTTTTTTATGGAAGAGAAGGAAGCCCTACACATGTATTAAGGGGCAGCCTGGGAGGAGGTAAGATGGGAGGGGATATTAAAGAGAGGTAGTTATTTTTCAGAGGGACTTTTTGCAATCTAGCTTATCCTATTTACAAAGGGGAGCAAAAAAAGAAAAATAACATGGAAAAGGATCCACGATAGGGTCTACTCATAACTGCTATTCCAAGGTTTTCCCCTGCAAGACAGATCCCAAAATGGATCAGGCCTTGAGTAGGAGGAGTTTCTTTTAAATGGAGTTAGTGAAGGAGACTCATGCTGACAGCAGTTGAACCTTGGAGTTACATATTCAGCAGATCAGTAATAGCTGTATTTTATTATTATTATTTTTTTGAATTTGGAAGGAAAATGAACCGGTTGCTTAAGTTAATCTACAACATACTATTTTGCATATAGGATGGTGATTATATTTGGATAAGGATTAAGCCGATGAAGGAAAATTCATATAACACACCCCAGATGACGTAAAGCGGATGTTCCAAATTATAGACCTGAGACAGTGTGAGTGGTCTGTGGAACTGTATTAAATAGTAAAATCAAACTTGTAAATTAAGCTTGATTAGTTCATGTTCCTCAAGAAACCAAGGCTGACGCTTGTCCAAAAAGTTTTGGAGTGATTGGCACAGAAGAGCAGAAGATCTGGCAAAACCAATCCTCTGCAAATAGCAGTTAGTGTGTTTTTTCTCCTTTGTGCAGCTGTCAGGAAAGTCCACTGTTGGAAGAAGTCGCTCTTAGAGGATTCGGCGATTATTACTCACTTTTGAAGAGTTTATGATGGCCCAGTACAGGCCATAAATACATAAATATACGGTCAACAGTAATAATTCATAAAGTACAGCTTGGTCCTATAAAATGGTGTTAACAGTACGAATTAACATAACGTGGTGGTTTCTTGGGTGATTGACTCTTCAAACCATAGAGCTTTGTGAATGTTCCTACACGATCTTACCGGTTTTCAGTAAAGCTGTCCTCTGGGGTGTCTTCTGTAGTTCATACAGCATTAAACACATTTGGGGTTTTAGCACTTTAGGATACAAGTAGTTGGCCAAACGGAGCCCAGAGTTGTGATAAAATAATTGCTTCAGCCTTTGGTTAAACATCTGTATTGCTCGTGAGCATGCCTGACAGCTGTGATTTATCCTTTCCTTCTTTTATAGTGATCGACACCATACATCCAGTGCAATTCCTGTTCCAAAGAGACAGAGCTCTAGCTTCGGCAGATTGGATATTGGCTTTTCCAGTGGGCTTCCTTCTCCAGATAAAGGACTCCGAAAACGAGCCAGCACGGGAAATGAAAGACTACAGTACAAAACTCCTCCTCCTAGTTACAACTCTGCTTTAACACAGCCTGTTGCCATCACAGCCCATGTAGAAGAGTTAGATAAAAAACCTGGATCGATATCTTCTTCCTTGGATACCTCTATGGACTCCTCAAAAGGAAATACCAAGAAAGGCAAGGACATGTGCAGAAGTTTAAATGGAGAGAACGGGAGCCTAAACAATACCCAAGAGCGGCAGGAGTCTTTCCTAGGACATACTAGTGCAATAAATGGGGCGTTTCTGCCTGGTGAGTGCTCTGGCACTGCAAGTAACGAGCAGCCCTGTGAGTTTCGACCCTCGCTCGGCCCTGTCCTTTGCTGCACTGTGGAGCAAGCAGAGGAGATCATGGGGATGGAAGCGACAGGGTTCAGCACGGGGGATCAGCTAGAAGACTTTAACTCCATCCCGGTGGAGCATGCTGTGGCAGTGGAGTGTGATGAACAAGTCCTAGGGGAGTTTGAGGAGTTCTCTCGAAGGATCTATGCACTGAATGAAAACATGTCCAGCTTCCGCAGACCGCGTAAAAGTTCGGACAAGTGAGCTTGGACAGGGATTTGATAGCAGACATTGAGGTGAAGTCAGTGATCTGGAATAGAGATAAAATTGCACTTATTCTTTATATTAATTATATAAAATAAAAAAAAAAAGCTAAAGCTATTCCTATGGTGTTAGACAAATGAACTTGAGCACGATAACACAGGATCATGGTATATTCACAGCCCAGGTAAATTTTGATTCTGCTTCCAGTCCTCTTATGTCTGGTATTTGTAATCTGTTGGAAATTTTTTTTTTTAGGCATTGGAATCCATTTATAAAGGCTTTCCTGGAAACAACTTCTAGTGCTGATCAGGCCCTTCTATGAATGTTTGTTAATTTCTTAATTATTATTTAGAGTTAAATTTATTTTAATCTTTTAAGAAGAAAAAAATTAATTTAAAAATACCATAAATTACCATTTATGGTAAGACCTCTTTACCTTCTCCCATATGTACTCCTGTGATTTTTTTTTTTTTTTTTGAGCAACGTAGTCAGTGTTACAGGAATACCATGAATTTGTTATAATTGGACAGCTTTCTCTTGGCTGTGCTCTGTAGCCTTTGAAGTTCTAGTTTGCACTGATGGGTCTTCAGTTGGTGGTGTAAACTTGCCAGAGAATGAGCACCCGTGTGATATCTGCAGTTTCCTTGCACCTGATTAATCAGAAATGACTTTTCCTCCCCCTCCTTTCCTCCATCCTCGCTGTTCCTACCAGTAGAAGCCTTGAGGAGTAAATCGCCTCTAAGGTTTTGCATGAAAATCTCAGCCTGACCATTCCCCACTTCAATTGGGCACAGACCTCATCAGTAGAGACCTAACGAATGCGCTTCCTAAGTGGGGTTCAGCTGCCACCCTCCGAGGTGTCTAACAGGGACAGCGTGCTGTGAGGCACTTCACAGACGTCTTCGTAAAAACCCAGACTGAAAAATGCAGTCAGCACTTTGGAATTAGGCGAATTTGTGGAATCGCTCCACCCTCTGTAGAAAGGAGGCACTTAACATTATTCATCTAAATTAATATCTTTTTAACCATCTGTACTTTAAAGGAAGAAACTTCCAGGGGTTCACTGGAGGTGTGGTTTGCTGTTAGGTAGGTTACCACTGGCACATGTGTTCAGCTGCACTAATGGGAAAGCAATTTGCAGCCTGCTTTGTGATTCCTGGTATTTGTTTCAGTTTGGATTTCATTGCTCTTGCTTTCTATTATTGTATACCCAAGAATTTGGGCTCGGTTGTGAGCTCTCAAATATAAAAATATATAGCAGAATAAAAAACACTTCATCATGCCTGGCTTTTTTTCCTCCCTGGTCTATGCTTTCTTTTGAACCAATGGCCTAGTCTTTTTCCTAACTTCACCGTAAGGCTAGCCTAAGTTAACTTTTTAAAATGTGGATATGTATAATCTCAGCTATTTGTTGTCAGAACAAGACGTGTATGTGAGAACCAATATACATAATAGCACTCTTCTAGAATATGCATTTTTCCAGGTAACACCTTAATGATTGTATTAAAATTATATTCACATTTCTTCTGTTAGCTTTTAATGGTTGTGTCTGCAATTGAGTTGTTGGATTGAGCCTTTCTACAGCGATTCATTATCTTTGGTCTGTCCCAGTACGATGTGCTAGGTGAAGGCACTCAGAAGCAGAGACCTTGACTCTGTAAGACTTTGAACGTGATGCCAGGTGCAAACTTGGGCATGAGGTTGGACACGTTCATGAGTATCTTCTTCCCTGAATAAGCTCCTCTGTTCCAACCTCATGAAAAGCTTCCCTAAAGCCAAACGCTGCAGCAGCTTAAAGCACTGCCATCATCTTTGAGAAGAGATAGGTAGGAAATTCTCACTGTCTTTGGCATCCTGAAGCCCTTGTTAATGAAGTGGGCATAAGGTACTCTGTCCTGTGACTATATCTTACCGTCTTCTGATAGCATTGTAATTTTAGGTGAAATCAGGGAATGTTGAGTCAGTCGTGTACCCTGCGGGATGGGATCTGGCACGCTCAAAGCAGCACAGACCTTCTGTTTGTAGGCACACTCGTTTTCTTCTATAACAGAAAGGCATTAGCTTGCGTGTGGTGGTGACTTTTCAAAAGCAACCCAAAGAGTAGTTGTGAAGTCGCTATGTTTCGTAGGCAAACACAGAGCGTCTCAGTGCAATTAAGCGACATCTGAAGTTAGGTTCGTAGAGCATCAGCAGGACTTTGGATATTTTTTTTTTCATTAGTTGCGCACTTTCTCAGGTTGCACCCAACCAAATGAAGTCTAGTTTTCCTCCCTGATGTTGTGTTGCTGTTCCTGTTTGAGCCCTGTAATTGTTAATGTGTCAAACACGATGGTTGATTTCTGCATCTGTCGCACAAAGCTTCTTTCACAGGCTTTCTATGGATGTATCTTTAGTAGGCCTTAAATTGTCCCCATGTTTCTCTTCCACTTTCATCGCTTTCTATGTAGAAGGTGGTGTGAAGGGCGACAGCATCGCAGGGCTAATTAAAGCATTGACAAACTTCTCGTTGGTGTGAGGATGGGGGATTGTACAGACTGCAGTCACCTCATAGCTTGCTTTTTTGTGTTTATTTTTTCCCCCCTGTAAATTACTTTGAAAATAGCGTAGTGGGAGAGAAACAAATAGTAGGTTTGAAGGTGAGATGATATATCACAGTGTGCTTTAAACTGTCAAGAGCCTTTCAGTTCCTGCACAGCTGTGACACTGTTAAATGTCTGCAAATGTCTTCAAGTGGAGAAAACATTTCATTGCAATCTTTTCCCCTCACTAGGAATTCCTAAGATTTTTGAGAATATTAGTTTTGGAAGATCATATCCCACTATATTTTTATAGCAAGCACAACAGCATTGGCTTATCCTTGCTTGACCAGGTATTTAAAATAAGCAAACCCAGAATATCCAATAGTAAATGACACATTAAAACTATGTTGGTAATTGCGGGAAAGCTCATCTGTATTTATAAAATAAAACTGATCAGTATCTCTCAACTTGTGTGTCTTCTCTTAATGGCTCCTTTGTGTTTGTTTTCTTTACAAGCCTGATTTGAACCACAGTGTCCTCCCCAGCCCCACAAACTCTTTGGTTTATTGTTCATCAGGCCCATATTGGTCAAAATGTGAATTTTTTGGGCAAGAGGGTTTGCTAGAAGACCTGACTGCCTTGTTGGTTCCAAATCCTATTTCACACGAGCTGGTACTGCAATTGTTTTTCATGCTCTTTCCAAAAAGATGGCACGCAGCTGGAAAAACAGCGTATGGTGGGGCTGGGAGACAGCTGGATTTGCAAAACTTTTATGGATAGTGGAAATGCCGTGTTCCCTCATCAGGGAGGCATTGCTACTCATCCAGCACCTTCTGTGATCCGAGCTAATAAGCAACATATGTCTGCCTAAAAAGCTGATGTTCCCCTTGAACAGGAGTCTACTGCACAAGTCTTGGGAGGAGACTGTCCGCTATACGGAGTCGCTGGTGGGAAGCAGTGTAATGTGAAGAGCTACAGGGACTCTCCAGGCATCATCAGAGCAACAGGTTTTTTGTTGTTGGTTTTGTGTTTTTGTTTTTTTTTTCTTTTCTCCCACCCAATCTGTCTGTCAGCAGAGAGTAAAATGCCAAGACACCAACTGTATAGTCCTGGAGCTGAAGTGGGAAGATAACAGGAGAAAAATATTACTTTAAGCTGTTTTGCAACATTGAACAGTTTTATTGAAATGTAGTTGCATTAAAGTAAATCATAAACTATGAATGGAAAAGGTTTTTACTGAAATGTAACTGGAGGTGCTGCATGAGAGTGGACTTGTTCTAGATAAACCTTGGGCTCTTCTGAACCTCATTTTTGTCACCTTTCAAATGGCCAGAGAGGGTGTTTCTCCTTGGTTTCTGGATTTTGACATTTTTTCAGATGGAAGTGTTTGCAGGTGCTTTTGTCCTCTGAAATGATCCAGTGTAGCTGGTATCTTTGGGCAGCCATGAGCACCTCCTGTCTGCAGGCAAGGTCGTCTTAACCCCAGGTGAAAAAATATTTTCCAGGAAAAAAAAGTAACTAAGACTTCTTTTAATTGCTGGTTATGTTGATATCAGCTTATTTTGTCTATGGAAGAATGCAACGTTGTTTTATGATTTTTCATTAAGTAGTACGAAACTTTTTTTCCACTACGTAACTGATTGTCAGACATCAGCTCTGCTGCTGCTGGAATTTGTCCTGTATGTATTGCATTGACTAGCTTGGCATTTAAACTGTTGGTCTCTTCAATCTAGCTTTATTAAGTTACTTTTTAATAGGTTGTTTTGATAAAACCACAGTTGAATTTCTGAGTTTCCAACTTCTAGAACAGCCATATCCATTCTGATCTGGATTGTCTTGGTTTTAGCGTGGACAGAAAGTCCCTTTCTGTGTTGCATTGACTTGTTAAAAGAAACTAAAGTGCTGGCCATCAAAAAATAAAAAAATTGAAAAAGAAAAAATGCTTTCTGGTAGTCAGGCATTACAAAGGTTTCATTGACGCAGGTCTGTTAAGCCTTGAATTGGCTCGAGTAACCCATGTGAACTGGAGCTGCTTTCCCCAGCAACAGCAAGCAGATGCTTTCTGCTTTTGCACAGGGGAAGCATTCTCCCAAGAACGTTAGCGGAGGAGAATGTAACCTGTGTTTTCTGCTGTGCCTCCAAGCCTGGACAGCCAGCCAGCTCTCGCAGGAGAGGGGGGCAGCAGCCCTCAGCCTGATGCTGAGTGCCTGTATTGATTACCCACGGTAACTGAAACAAGTTCAGGCTGTTTATTTAGGCAAAACTAAATGTAGTTTGCTTGGCTGGATAGAGGTGAGATGGGGAATAAATCTAACACTTGCTCTAATTATTGATTTTTTGGCTTTTTGGCAGCAGCGCTCTGGCTTTCCGTCATGTCTCCACCTGCCAGCAGTGGTACACGGTCTGTGTTCCAGTGCCAGAGGCATCATCTAATTGCAGCAACCAACCCTCAGCTCCTGCAAGGTACCTGTCAGAAGGGGTTTGTGCTGTTACCTCGGGCGCAGGCAGTGCCAGCAAGACCTTCGTCCTGGTTTTGTGAGGGAGATAACGCTCTTCAACGAATAGCACTGAAAGCACCTAATGCCTTTTAGTGATGGTGCTTGAAACGTGAGCTGAGCCTAAACTGCTCAAAGTCAATCTTGTCAGCTGTCTTACATGGTGTGTTTTTCACGTCTCTGTTAAAAAAGTATTTGCAGGTCAGGTTGCGTGGTCATGTCTCAAGTGTTAAACTGAAATCATGGACAACTCCTAATGGGCAACTCCTGAAGTGCTGTAGCATACTAATGCTCATATAAACAGACCTACAAACATAGAACAGTCCTAGCTGCCTAAAAATGTCATATAAATTGCCTGTATTTTTTAAATAGTGTAATAAGGTAGTTCAGTCAATTAAGCTGCACATGCATGAAAAGCTGTTAAGCTTGGACATGCAGTTGGTACAGGTGGAAAACCTGCCAGCCCAGCCGTCACGCTTCTGCCAAGCACCTTGGCCTGGATGTGGGGACTGCACCCCATGGACAGGACGGGCAGAAGAAATCCAGCCATTGAGGAGAAATTTATCTCTTCATCTTCCTTCTTGCACCTTCTGTAAGATCAGGGCAGCATGGTGCAATGATTGGATTACCTGTGCCTACCCAAATTTTAATCCTAGCTCTACCTCTCAGCAACTGTTCTTCTTGTGGGTCTCCTTGGGCTTCTTCGCTTGGGAAGGCAATATTCTTCCAGCTGGCCGGTTCATTGCTGCCAGTGCTGAGTGGTTATATTTTCAGCTAAGACTTACACATGCTACAAGTGAGGCACTTTTTGGGAAAAAAAATCTTTTCCTTGCAGGATATCTCCTGATGGAGGACATGCATGCCTCCTCTGCCATTCCTGCAGCAGAAATCTGTCCCTTTCTTTCAGCTCTTGTTACTCTGGTCTTGTTTTCAGGAAACTGGTTTCGGTTGTTGGTCTGAAATTAGAAAGAGTCTTGGCAGAGTTTGGGGTTGTCTTCTGTGGTTTCATCTGACCTGGCTAGCACTGCTCAGAACATGGCTGCTGGTTTGGAAATCATTTTCTCATATTAATCTTCTTCTCCCTGCAAATTTGCAATGATGGTGAAATTTCACTGCAACCCGATACATCCTCAATGGTTTAATTGGAGACATGAGTGTGCTGGCAGAAAGACAGAGGACTCTTATGTGTGTCTGTTTTCTATGGCTTTGGTTGTACGTGCCCTATGTGGGACTGAAAGGGAACGATTCCTCGAGGGGAGATTGGGCACCTGACAGACACAGTGCAGATGTTCTGATAACATCTCAGCTTTGTGGTAACCTCACTGAGTTCCTCCTTTCTTTCACAGTTGTTTAAACCGATGCTGGAAGGAGTGGCAATAAACCAAGTTCACCTCTGTCTAACTTGGTCCCTACAAAGTTCTCCTGTGTCTTGATGCCTGGTTTGAAAGACATTGAGGATTCCTGTTAATGGACCACGGTGCTCCTGGCCACAGCTTGACACCTGTCCCTTAGAGAGCCAAAATCACATATGCCTAGTTTTAAAAGATCCCTGGGCAACTACAGCTATGGGTCTGGAGGAGTCTGAGCTTTTAGCACCGCGATCGCTAGTTTTACTCAGCTCCAGAAGCACGTAGGGGTTCCTCAGCCCTTTGCAGCAGGCAGAGGTGCTCTGTGCTCTTACTGCCGATAGCAGCCTCAGTGTGCTGTTCCTTCACCTCAAAAACTAAACGCTGGTTACAACGCTGTTTTTTTCAGATGTTCACTACAGATAATGCTCCAGCGGTGAATGCAGAGCTGAGCAGCTACGGAGGAGCTACAGGTCCCTCCTTATGACCTGGCTGTGATTGCCTTGGGGTGGGCATCGCGTTGGAACAGCGTGTGTGGTGAGATGGATTAAAAGGAGGAATTTCAGCTGCCGTGCTGGAATTAAAAAGCAACTTTCTGTAAGCAAATAAAGGTAATGCCACATTGGCTGTAAGGGCAGTTGGGGCAGTGCACAAGTGCAGCACCTCTCCTGGTGATCAGAAACACAGGACTGTGATTCCAGCTCCAAGATATTTGGTCTGAAGAGCAGGAACACAGCTCTTCTTTGGTGATGGGCTGTTCCTCCCCTGTTGGTGGGTTGTGTTGTGTGTTCGGGCAGGACACCTTCAGTTCCTGTGCAAGAGAAGGACTAAAGCAAAAGGGTGGTGGTTTCCTGCAGTCCAGGAACCCCTTCTTTAAAACAGTATTGGCAGGCTGAAGGATAGCTGGGGATCTCTAAAAGCATTCCCTATTTTCTGTTTCTCAGTAAAATTTGTAACAAAAAAAAAACGAATTCATTTGCTTCCAAAAGAGATTAACTTATTTCACGTATCTTCAGATGGCCTTTGAAGGAGAGAGTGCCCTATGGATTCTGTAGGGCTTCTCCACCCATTGATGTCTGTCATCTCTCCCTTTTTTCCTGTCATTAGCACCGTCGCAGAATAGGTGTTTGCAATGCAATTAATTGCAAGCTCTGCAGTTGCGGGGCTCTACTAGCAACAATTAATAACAGATCTACCTAGATATTTCTCCCCTCCTATGTTTGCCAAACCACAAGCCATCAGCAAGGTTTAAGCACGTTCCTGTCAGCTGAAACCATAGACTTGGTGCTTGAGTGAAAAATCAGTATCACAGTTGTGAAAAGCTGGTTGTACACGTGTAGGGCAACCACTGGAGGAGATCCAGCTGCATGTGGAGAAAGGGCAAGAGGCACTGAGATGTTCTGCTTCATAGATCTTCTGTGGAAGGGCTGCTTAATATCCATATAACACTACACGCAGTTCCACTTCCCATCTGCATTTGCTAGAAGAGCATGTGCCAACGGAGCTAGGCTGAGTTTTTAGGCTGGTCTTGGCTAACCGGTTATACTGTATGGGCCGCAGAGTTTCACCTAGATCTTTCAGTATATTATTTGCAATATAAGCCACAGTATTTCAGAAAAGTGTGTAAATCCTTCCTAGCATAGCAGATGGTGAGGAAAAGACAAGGACTGTTCAGAGCATTAACTTGGGCAGCTAAAAACTTGTACTTGGAACCACAGCATCTTCTCATTTAATTCCTGGTTGAGCTTAAGCGCGTTCAGCCGTGTTCCTGTTGGACCTTTTTATCATCTACCTAGAGCAGTTTTAACATCTAGCCTTTGGATTTCATATTTTTCATCTACCAGAGGGAGTCCTTCTTTTACAGATCACCTTTCTCAGACCCTAAACACTGATATACAGCAAGTGCAGCTCCACAACCTGTGGCAGCTATCTTTGCCTTTGCCTCTATATGTATCTTTAATAACCTTTTCCCCCATGCTAGCAGGAAATGCTCTCATGCTGGAGTAGGTGGAGGGCCCCGTTTGACTTGGCTCCGGCTTGTTTTTATAGCGATAACTTTGTCAACAGCACGTAGTGTGACAACACAAAGCGGTTGTTTGGCTACCTCTTCGTCCACGAAGGAGACTTGCTAAATTGGGGTAGGATTTGTCTTGGGTGAGAAGTCCAAGATGCTGTCAGCTTTGCTGGGAACTGCAGACGGCTGAAGAGGGAAGCTTTAATCCTCCCTGCCCTGACGTTAGCCAGATATCAGGCACTGGACTACGTGGGCTGGTTAGCGTGGGCTTGCTCTGTGCAGCAAGGCTTCCAGCATTAACAAAAAGTGTTGCTGCCTCGAGCGAGTATTTGTCGAGTTGGGGACCAGCAGAGTAGAGCAGCACTTTTCCTGTTCTTTGGCTGAGCATCTCTGAACTGTGCTTTTCAGTTCCTCTGCCTCTGCTGTGATTTTCAGCATAAGATGAACAAATAAAACAGATACACTATCGACCCTTCCCTACCTGCCAAAGCAAAGGAGACCCAAGGCTTTTCGTTATTTTCATTAAAAGATTATTAAGCATTGGAACAGGCTGCCCAGGGAAGTGGTGGAGTCACAAAAGACGTGTAGATGTGGCACTCAGGGACATGGTTTAGTGGCGGACTTGGCAGTGTTAGGTTAACAGTTGAACTGGATGATCTGAAGGGTCTTTTCCAACCTAAATGATTCTATGATCTACCTTCTTCCCTGACAAAACCAGTTTAAAGCAGGTGGTGGTTTTATTCTGACCCAATATCCCTGACTTTCATTTCGGTGCTGGTGTAATTTGTGAGAGCGCAGTGAATTAAAGGCTCGGGAATATAAACCACGCAAGCAGTCACTGAAATCAAGGAGGGAAGGGAGATCATGCAGTCTCCAAGGGGGATTCTCAATTACTTGGCTGGGGTGAACACCTCCACCATGAGCTGTTCCTGGTGACTAGAAGCCAGAGGGAGGGATAGATGGATGGATGGATGAAGGGATGGAGGTGGCCAGCTCCTCATGTGGCTGAGGGTTTGCAGGGAGGAAAAGAGGCTGCAAGTGCCCTGCAAACCCCATCCCTGACCTCGATAACTGCACTGGGGCCCACAGCCACAGTCTCCCAACTGAGAGTGTGTGTGTGTGTACGTGCAAGGGAGAGGCAACTTAATGTTTCCTCAAAGCAAATAATAGTCTAATCTCATTGCCAGCTTCACAACAAACTGGCTAGAGTGTTGTGGGAGAGAGAAGGGAGATCTGAGTTTGTTGGTTGGTTTTGTCATTTGGTTTTCGTTGGGGATTTTTTTTGGTTTTGGGGTTTGGGGTTTTGGTTTTTTTTCATTTTTGGGGGGAGGGTGAGGGGTGGGTTTTGATTTTGTTTGGAGGGTGGTTAGGGATGGTTTTTATTTTGTTTTTTAAGACTCCAGTCCCATGACCTTCAGTTGAAGGAACCAAATTTGACCTTCCTTGTCTCCAAGTATTTTCTCCATCCAGCTAAGCATAAGAGGCTGTAGAGTCTCCATGAGAAGGATTTAGGAGGAAATCTCAGGGAATGTGACATTAATTGGGGAGAACACCAAGGCTGCAGATAATAACATTAGCACCTAGCTCATAGAAACTTTAGCAAAACCATTTATTTAGAGAAGGTGTGTATCTGACTCTTGGCTTCTATTTTGGAATGACTTTAAAATCCAAAATGTGACTTGTACCTTCCATTTGGCATCCCCTTGGCAGGGTACCTTTTCTCATCCCTATGTGATGGGATTACCCCTTCTGCAGAGGCGAGCCTGTGCTGCCTGGCTTTGCACACCCCGTGGGTGCTGCTCCGTGGTTGCAGTGAGCAATGGACAGCGTGACAGGATCAGTTCTCACCCCAGAGTGCTTGGGATGGAGCATGAAAAATGAACGGAGATCCCCAGCTTTCGGGTCCAGCCTCCCTGCTTCTGCCTGCATCCTGGCTGTGGAGAAAAGGGGATGGATGGAAAGACAGGCACAACTCCTGCAGCCCCTGAACAGGGGCAGGCCTGTGGCCGTGTGCCTGGAGAGGAAGGTGTAAATTATCCCTCCTGCTCCTACGCACCTCTCCTCTTGCATCCCGTGCTCCAGATGAATTCCTCTGTGTCTTTAGCCCAAGGCTGGGGAGCAAGAGCTTGTCTTCACCTGTGCGTGCTGAGTGTCTGGGAGGATGGGAATCCTGGTTGTGCCTGGGACTTTGGGCTTCCAGAATGACACAAGTGGCAGGGATTTAGACATGCACTAATAGAGGGATTTAGCCTCCCAATGCATCTGACTAGTCCTGAGCTCTTCAGGCAGCCTCTAATGAAGCATCCCCAGCCAAGGAAGCCCTGTGCAAAGTGGCAGAAGGCGCTGGGGAGAGAAGGAGGGGGCTCATCTCCACGATGCAGTAGGTTTGTTCAGTCTTAGCTGTTATATTTGCACAGGGAAAAATATAAATCAAGGCTGTGCTGGTCTATATCTGGCCAATTTCAGTCTGGAGTTCCTGACAGGTGACCCCAGGGTATGGTTGCATGCTCTCAGTGCTTATTTTTGACATCGTAATCCAAATTGACATTCAGCGCTTGAATATACAATAAGTTCATTACAGCTAAACCCTCTGGCTCAGGGATTTCCTGTTGGTAAGTCTCGGAAAAATCAGGATTCCCAGTGGTATCAGGCTGAAAACGCTTACAGATAAAATTCAAGTTAGCAAGTTATGCCAAAATTTTTTTGGAGCTGAAGTGGAGCTGTATTTTCTGTCCGGTGCAGTGATGCCTTATCCTTCCTTGTTGCTTGGGATTGGAGGCGGAGGCCCCTGCCCTGCACAGCTCCCAAACAGGGTCTCAGTGCTGGTCTCAAGGGGAGCTCATTAAAAAGCAGTGGATGAATCCACAATCCTATAACTAAGCATATTTCTTGAGTGCGTTTTTGGAACCTAAACTGTTGCCCCTCTTCCCACTTTCTAGAGAGCAAAAGAAAAATCTGCACAGCATCTTACCAAAACAGCCTGTGATCAGCTGTGGTAAACTCCACAAGCAGATAAGACTTCAGATATCTCCATTACCTCCTCAAGCGGAACGTATCTCCCAATCTTCCCATGTCTACATGAGGGTTGCAACACAGTGGGGTTACTACTCAAGCCCTTGACCTGCTGGTTAATAAGCTGTTATGATGAGGTGTGAACTTGGCCTGGGACTTCTCCATGCCCATCTGGCACATGGACAGCATCTCTTCTGCTTCCACCTCCTCCCCTTGATGAAACTGATATCTTATAAAAACAGATACAGCTTCTTTCCATCCGATGGGTCTCAGCTGGGATTTTCAAACTACCAGTGGAATTTGAACCTGGTTTTCTAATCAGGCGAGGGGAAAACGTTGCTGTGTCCCAAAGAGGAAATGTGAAGTGGCTCCGTGTGCGGGTTGAGTGGTGGGAGAGGAGCTGAGAAGTTCCCCATCACAGGTGGAGCAAGAGCCAGAGGTGATGCTGTTACAAAAAAGAGATGGGATGCAAAGAAGAGAGCAGGAAAGGTCTCATTTTTACACATCCGGTGCCATATGGTGAGAAGAAATGCGTGCACACACAGCAAATGTGCACTTGGTATTATTTAGGAAAAATTTCAGAACAGTAGAAGTAGGAAGTATTAGAAGAGGTGATCCAAGGAGACTGATCCCTGCTACTGGAGGGTGTGAGAACAAAGACATACAGAGTAAACAGGACTGGAAGGGCCAGCTTTGAAGTTTGATCTGAGGTTGCCCAGGGGTTTTTTTCAGGAGGGTTTTGAGTATCTTCAAAGATGGAGATCCCCAACCTGGACCCCTGTTCCAGTGTTTGACCACCTTTGTGGGGAAAAGATTTTCCTAATGGGAATTTCTTATGTTCTATCTTGGGCTGTTGACTCTCTTCCCATCACTGAGCATCTCCCATGAAAGCCTGTGTCTCTCTCATCTTTACACCGTCCCAGCTGGGAGTTGCAGACAGTGACAAAATCCCCCTTTGCCTTCTACTCTCACTGCACACCCAGCTCTCAGCCTCTCCTTGCATGCTCTGAGCTCCAGTCCCAACCAGCTTGGTGGCCTCACTGGGTTCTCTCACCATCTGCCTGGTACTGGGGAGCCCAAACTGGTCCCAATGCCCTGTTTGACAAGTGCTAAATGGAGAGGGAGAATTGCTTCCCTGGCCCTGCTGGCTCCACTCCTGCCACCACCACCCGTGGCACGGTTTGTCATCTTTGTCCCAGGTTCTTTCCCCAAAAGCTGTTCTCCAGCCCATCAGCCCCCAGCCTGTGCTACACCATCCCCGAGAGATGTCCCATACTGATACGATCCTGTCTCAGCAACCGAGGGTGGTCTACGCAGGCTCCTGAACTCCTTTCCAGCTCTGTGTTTTTGTTCATCCAAATCGCACATATCTGTAATTCCCTAAGAATTCAATAAAAAGCTCGGGAAAAGGTTGCTATTCTTTCCTCCCCTGGTGGTTTTTAAATTTTACACATCTTAAACCCAATTAATTTGCTAGTCACTGGAAGCGTAGCATCCTATATGGCTCCTGTGAGAAGAACACGTGATAAATTAGGATTATCACTTGCAAGAGCAGCGCAATGGCACAAGAATAAATACGGTAACGTTTCCTTCTGAAGTGTGGGACCTTCTGTGGAGGACCAGCCACGAGCTCTGCAAAGAAAGCTATTAACCACTGGACTTGAAAACAATTCCTCACCGTGGTCTGCTGTCTGCTTCTCTTGGTAGCTTTCTGTTACGACAAATGACACACGATTGCTTTTCCTACAGGCTTGTGTTTTGTGTTGCAGAAGTGTCTAGAAGCAGCAGCTGAGGTGGAGAACCTCGTTCTTCCAGGGGCTGCCTGGTCACCTAGAAGGGGATGGGGCTTTTCCTGGTGGCCACACCTAGCCTTCCCCTAGGATATGGGGAGCAGAGACTACTGTGGGATTTGGCAAGGGATGGATCCATAGGTGAGAGAGTCCTGTAAAATTTGGTCTTTAAAAATGCCTTAAAGGAAGGAACAGAAACCTGCTCAACCTAGAGGCATAGACCTTCCTAGTCCAGGCTACTTCTGATGACTCAGAATAAATCTAGGTCTTAAAATTTCACTTTTCTAGGACTTGTACATTCCCAAATTGTTCCTTCTCTCTGCCCCGGGTCATTCTTCATCCTCTTCCTCAGCCACGTGAGGGGAAGAGGCTGCCACTGCCTGGAAGGGAGCACCAGACTGCTGGTCCCTATAGCTTGGTGTGACGTCCAGGGGAAGGACTTACTTTTCGTCTGAGGGTGCAATTTGCGTGCTTAGCTATAATTTAAACCCTGACCCTGGGGAAGTCAGAGCCAAGGACACTGGCTGGTGCCACACGGCTGTGGGGAGAGGGATGGGTTGGAAACAGGAGTTTGGTTCAGCTCCATCGTGTTTCCGTCAGGTCTCGGTTTATAAATAGTTCGGGTCAACCATGTGCTTCTCTACTTTGACACTTTTGTAAGGCTGAAGACGCTTTGGGTTATATACTTAGAAACTTTCCTTTCCTGGCTGCCCCCGTCTCCCTGTCTGCCAGGAAAGTCCAGCACAAGAGTCAAAAAGGTGCCTGTCTGGATTAACCGGGAACCTGCCACAGCCGGCGCTGAGCTTTGCCCAGGGCACGGCCTGGATGATACCGAGGAACTGGTAAAGCAATGTGGGTCCTGGGTGCTGAGCTGCTCTCAGGGCTGGCTCCCAAATGAGGGAGAGGATGGGAGTGGGGTTTCTCTCCCATCCTCAGCAGGGGGAAGCAAGCTGGGAAGTCAGGTAGGAGCGGTGCTTGCAAAGGATAGTTAAACATATGGAAATTATTAACTGCAAAGTCACCAAAGCACGCAGAACTATCTTCCTTTGCTGCAGAGAAATGATTTTTGCCTCCTGTCCTTGTGCGTTTCTCTGCTGAGCAGACGGGCATTGCAATGCCCGCCTGGCTGGCTGGCGGCTGCGTGGCCAAACTCCGGGGCTGGGGAGTCGTATTTGCTCCAAGAGCTCTCTTCTTGCGGTATTTGGGATGCTGAGCAACTGATGCACTTTCTGCCACCGGCTGGGTGAAACCGGCATCACAGCAGCTGCTCCTGAAGGTGGGTGAGCACACTAAGGCTGGAGGGAAAGAGCTTGCCTGCAGAGATGTTTGCATTGCAGATCACTGCAGTTTAACTGGTTATTCTGGGCTCCAGTCAGAGCCACTGAAGAGAAGTGAGCATGGGGTCCTGTTCTTGGGATGCCTGCTTTGGGATGTAGCTTGAATTTTCCCTATCAGCCATAGAAGGAGCTTGGTCATTTGCAATGACTTGCTGGGATCCTCCAGAACTTCATAGAAGCAACAGGCAGTACCGTGCTTGGGTCCTTCTGAGGTCTGAACAACAAGAAGCAGGGACCTCTTGATCAGAGAGGTCTGAGCTGAGCCATAGTTAATTAGCTAATTTAGGATGATGCTGACCTCTGGTTCTTTTGCTTTTCTCTTGGTGTGTTGTGTTTCAGACGTGGCAGGAGAAAACATGGTCTGACACAGTGCTCCTGAAAGCCTGCCGAGCTCTCGTGTGGGCAGAGCATGGCTGTCCCTCATTGACCAGTACACCAGTCCTCAGCTGATGTAGGGAGAAGGTGGGGGAAGAGAAAAAAAGGGACGCCTGTCGGTGAGATCCTCTTCTTACCCTTTCTGATGTTGGAAATGGACGCAACCTGTGAGTCACAGTTCACCCTGGGCTCAAGCTAGTAAGTCTGGATAGGTGCCGAGGTTGACAAATTTATGCTGTTGGCTTGTTTCAGGCTTGTTCCTGTTCCTTGTGCTGCTTAGAGGCAGCACCTGAGCATCTCTGCTGAGCACAATGTTGCACGATTCAGTGCTTCATGCTTGCTAATCACGTGCATGTCTAAAATCTGCATGGCTTATTCAGCCAAAACAAGGATGGTGGGACAGCGAGATCAAATCCTTTTCTTACAATAGATATCTATACACAGTCACATCTTCAAGATTGTTGCAAGGACAGTCATAGTGTTGGTGGTCTGCTGATACTCTCTCCAGCTCATTGACTCTAATCTGCTTTGAGCTGGGAATCCTGAAGCAGAGGTCAGGCTGACTTTGTTAAAACCAAAAATCCAGCCTGGCTCCTCAACAAAGGGATATGTTGGTCAGAAAACTTCTAGAGGGCTTTAATGGAACTGGTAGATGGAATTTTTCCTGAGTGCATCATGTCTTTCTTCAAACAAAAAAGTTATATGCAGTTTTGTTTCAGCTGCGTGGAGACTTTGGCATAGATGAGCAGAATAAAAGCAACCCCTGCTCCAAAGATTTTGAAGTCTAAATGTGAAAGAAGAAAGCGAAAGAGGATGCAGGTGACTAAGGAAATGATGAAACAGAGCAAATTAGTGAGGAGGAAAGTGTTCTCCGTACTTCAGCTCCTTTATCACATCCTTCACCAGTGTCTCGATGAATGAGAGTTTTTGCGGCCCTGGTTCTGTGGTTGGGGGTTACCCTTGAATTCAGGCACTGAAACAGCCCTGGGATTGTTCTGCTTATTTCTGTTTAAAAATCAGAGATCCTCGTGTCTCCTGGGATATCAATCTGTCAGGCTGCAGAGATTATTAGTACAATAAAATCATGCATGGAGCACCTGCAACCTTGTCTCTGTTATTACAGGTGTGCAACTGCACGTGGGAAGAATTTAGGAATTAAAGAGGACAGCGTTACTGAACAACCTGGGAACAGTGGAGCGAGCTGATTGAACAGTGGATTTAGCCACAGAGCGTGTGTTAGAGCGATATGTCTTTCCCTGCCTTGACAGCTCGGGGCTGGGAGCTATGGGGTGATCTGCCATTTGGGGGGCACGCTTTGCTGTGGAGGTCACCATTTGCTCTCTCCAAGTGAAAGCGGGGAGAACAGCAGCGCTTTGTGTGAGACCAAGGCTGAGCTGAATTTGCAGGAGAAAGGTGAGGCTGAACAACCTGATCTGACGGTGGGGCTGGTCCTGCAGTGAGCAGAGGTTGGACCACAACCTCCAGCGGTCCTTCCAGCCTCAATTATTTTGTGGTTCTGGTTCTCACTGCAGTGATGACAGGAGCCACAAGTAACTAGCTCTGGTGCGAACATCTCAGAGGGTTATGATAAGTGGTGCAAAGTCCATCTGGCAGCCAAAAACTAGTGGTATCCCTCAGTAATCAATACTGGCATGGGATAACATTGAATGTCTTCATTGATATCCTGGATGGAGTCTGCTCTCAGCAAGCAGGATAGGGGTAGGGGAGTGGCCAGTGTGCTGGAGGGCATGGCTGCTACTCAGAAGAGGGTCCTGGGCAGGCTGGAGAAATGGGCTGATACGAACCCGACAAAGTTCAGCAAGGGCACGGGTGAGTTCTTAAATCTGGCGTGGAATAATCCCATGCAACACTAGGGATGGGGAGCCAAACCCTAGGAGACAGCTCTGGAGGAAAGGAAGGACAAGGCTCTGTTCTCATCATCATCTTGTGCAGATAACTGAGCTTTGCAGACCCTTCCTGCCACAAAGAAGGGGTGCAGTACATCAGGTAGAAGTTTGAAGGCTGTCCTGGGTAAAATACCAAGAAATGTGCCATCGGGAGCTACTACACAGCTAAGGAGAATTAGCCTTTTCCCATCTGCTCACCATGTCCTGGAGCTTTCCCAAGAACTGCATCTTCCAGGCCCTGCCTTCCACCCACAAAAATAACAAAATTATGCACTTAGCAAGGAGAGGAGGCTCTTCACCCACATGTTGGTCTTTGCCTTTCATTATTTCTCTTAAATGATGAAGGATGAAGACAAAGCTTGGTGGACACTTCGAAGTCCTGCGTTTGTATTTGCGTTCTGCCACAACGCTCCTCTCTATTAGCTCTCCCCGTACAGGGGTGTCTGTAGGAGTCCTCAGGGGCTTCGTGGTCCAGATACCTCAAAGAGGTGTCAAAGCACGGAGGTATTCGAGGGATGTGGGTGCTCACACTCAATCAACCGCAGTGGGGCAGGATGTGTTATGTCCAAAACCGGGATAAACACATGCATCTGGGTTGCTGCTAACCTTTGGAGACGGCTGGGGTGTTCTACAGCCTCCGCTGCACTGCCAAGATGCTGCTGAGGGCTCGACTGGAGACGTTGTGTTGCTGAAAAGCCCCGGTTGCCTTCCTGGTGCCAGTCAAAATAAAGAGCTTGGCTTCTTTTCTGCGTTGGTTGCTGGCGCTGGGACCTCTCTGGGGACGGTGCTGGAAGGGCCAGTGTGCAACTGCCCACTGATGACGGGCCCGGTGAACACCTCCTCGGGCTGAAGAAGTGAAAAATGACAGTAATTTCCTGCCCACACCAACCAAGCAGAAACGTTCTCCCGTGAAGGTTTTTTTTAATGAGGCTACAGAGCCTGGAAATGTATGAAAGGCAGAAAGGACGGATCAGCGGAGAGGTAAAAAAACTGATTGAAAGGAAATTAATGTTGTTGAAACCTTGTGAAAATTTAGAAACTCCGCTGAAGACCTAGGGTCTGATTCTGACCTGACCCAGCGAGGCAGCAAAACCTGACCGAATCCAGCGCCGCAGGTTTGCAGAGCCCCTCGCGGGGGCTTCAAGATGCTAAAAGTGTGCAGGAACTGATGCAAAGCAAGGACACGAAGCAGATGGGTGCCTAGAGGCTGGCGTTTCCCTGCCCTGATGCTAGAAGGGGTCTATCATAGATATCATGAGTTTTGTGGGGTCTCACGGTGTCTTCAGGAGCAACCCAACCACTAGTGCTCCATGGGGGTTCCCTATGCCCTGCTCATCGGTGAGTCCTTCAGGGGACAGCGTAGGAAGGGATGCACATGCACTTATAGGCATGTATTTTCAGATGTCCTGGCTCCAACCCAGAGGTTGAGATGCAACTGGGGACACCTCCAAGCCCTGGTTCCTTCTTACATCTTCTATCCCCACCAGCCAACGCCAATGGCTTTCCAGGGGCTGGGTCTTTTTCCAGCTGTTGAAGGCATCAGGAGCCAGCTTTTCCAACCCTAGCCCCCTCCCAGAGCCCTGTGTCCATGCTGCAGGCTCAGGAACAGGAGGTCCTGGCTTGGTGTGACCTTAGGGCATCAGATGCTTCCCATGGGCTAGACAGAATGGGCTGAAGCAGTGTCCTCGGTGCAAGAGCCACCAGAGAAACACCCGCTCTGGGGGTGGCTCGGTTGCATCCTCGTTCTGCTCTTGCACCATAAGGGAGTTGGTTGATGGTGGGGAGTCCAAGGCAGAGGGGCAAGGGAGAATGTAAATGTGAAAAAAATTGCAAAATAAAAAAAAAGGGATATTCTAATTTGCACGTGGGTTTTGGTATTTGTTGCATTCAACTCGCCAAAATGCTGGAAAATACAGTAATTGCACTGAGTGCAGTCATGCAGTTTTTGTGAGGTACAGAATTTACGGCTTTTAGAAATAACCACCTTTCTAATTTAACATTTGATTTGAAAATTACTGAGTTCTGATAGAAAAACGCTGCTTTTTGAAGGATCCAGTTTGAGCTACGGGGAGAATATAGACATGATTTTCCAAACAGAGGGCAGCCTGGACTTTTTGCAATCCCACAGCAGGTTTTGTATGTGAACTCATTACTAGCCTTGTTGTTAACCTTATTGTTGCTATTTTGTAGCTAACATCCCTATGTCATGAACACCTTTCCCCTCTGGATCTCCAGGTACTTTTGAGACAAAGGCAGGTTTATTATCTCTGCTTTAGAGATGGAGAAAACAAGACATGTAGATGGGATTGGTCTGGCACAGCAGAGTTTTTCACACCTGAACTAATTGCTTGAGACTCCCTTTATTGTCACTGGAGGCAAACAGACACTTCTATTCATTTCATCCTAATATAGACGATTAAAATAGGTCAGATGACTGGCTTAAATGTATTTATGCAGTGTTTGTGATGGGCATCTAAGGGGAGAGTGCGGGGGAGTAGACAGCCATGCATCTATAAAAGTATTTTTTCTCTTTAACTACACATGCAAGATATAAATATCTAAATACTCACAGGCTCTTTCCTGTACTAGTATGTGATGATGGATGGATAGATAACCTTTCTCCATAAAAATATACATAGTTAAGAGTAAATTTTTCATTGTCATCTCCAGCTTGTGTTTAACAATTTCTTTTCCTCATTTTTTTTTTCCCTTGGAATATTGTTGTGGGTGGAGGGATCTGACCTGTGTCTAACATAATATTCTTGGATGGGTTTTTTGAGTAATGGCA